GTAGTAGGGATGTGATTAGCGTTTGACAAAACACTAACAGCTCCCAATCTAGATGTTATAGTAACACATCTCCACGTCACTTCATATCCTTTCCTTCTGAGTTGTCGGGAAGTACGCAAGATTCGAGCTCATCGTCTGATCGTCATAAAATAATCCAAAATGCAAAACAAAAATGACACAGGGCTAAGATTCATGTACAAGTTTAAAAGTGGGAATGAATGTGTAAAATAATAATATATATGGAAACCATATTTATACAAACAAGCGTATCTTATACCCACAATTACATATACTTTATTTATTCTAATGCATCCCTGAACTATATGCTGACTCAGGCCACTAAACGCTGTCAATGATATCTATCCCATTTACCAAGATCAGATATCACTAGACCACATGCCACCAACGTACTCCCAATTACCAAGAGCTACGCCACCTAACTTCACATGGAGCCTAGGTGTTATAAGTCGATCGTCCCTGAGAATTCAGGCCAAGAACCTTGTCTTGCCTAGCATGCATAGATAATAATCCCCGTCGGGATTGCAGGCGACTGATCAACCTCGTGCGTCCCATACCGCACGGCGGTGGACTTACACATTCCTTAATGCAAGTCTATATGATCACTCACTCATCTTGTGGCAACTCTTAGCCATAAGTATTAAGTTAATAATGGGGAATTATCGTATCAACTTTTCAAGTTATACTTATTATCTAGATACTTAGGTTGAGTACCAAATCCATCCAATGTCTTGCCATATTTGATCTTTGTCCTTACATAATAAGTTCAGTTTGTATAATGGGTAATTGTATGGTTAACTTCCCAGGTAAGAGAGGTGGACTGTAAACGGCATAGTCGACCAAGTCTTTCCTTAGCCAGAACCCAACCAAATATAACTACTCATTGTATCCAACTTTCCTTATGTTAATGGGGATCAATTACTTAATATCTAGCAATGTTTTTCTCTCATTAACCGATTATTTCCTTAATCTATCAATCACAATCATTCAAGTATAAATAAAATAAACAATTATAAAATTAACCGAATAATGCAAGCACAATACAATACCAAATTGTCAAAGATTATTCCTATGATAATTAATTAAGGCCGGCGTAACCTCGCCTAGTGATTTGTGAAAATCATTATTTGAGAATAGGCTCTCCTTAATTATTTATCGCTAGTAGGGCTTAGGTCACCACTACACACATATATATTAAGTTATTTTACGCTAACCGTCCCAATCGTATACGAAATCTTGCCCCCACCTTTTGTTGAGTGTTGTTGAAAGTCCACAAGTGTTGTCTTCGATCTTTGCCAAGAACCGATTACTTATGAAAATGATTTGGGCAGAACTTTGACGTATAAAACTCCCTTGAAACTTTAGAAGAACTTTTACCACAAAATACTCTAAAGGTTACGAACCGATATCGTGGGAACTTCGATAACTAAAACTAATATTGCTATATGAAGAAATTAGAGAAGGAAAGAAGTAAAGAAGTAAGAAAGATGATTTGTGATTGAATGAATGAAAATGGGGTGGAAGAGACCCCTATTTATACTAGTTGTAAAATATTAAAATAACATAATTTATCATCTTTTGCCCATACCTTCCAACTTTTCAACTCTTGCTAGTAAATATGTCTCTATCAAATATTTACTAATCTTTCATCAATAGTGCTTTAGGTGTTCTAGTATGACTTTGTGAAAATAATTTATGACAAAGGTATGGGAGCTTGATTTCATGACATAATATTATGTAGGATATTAATAGAAAATGAGATATATATTTCTTTTATAAAAAGTAAAATGTTAATAATATTAATAATAATAAAAATAGTAAAAAGGATAGTTATTTGATATTTTTATTGTCTTAAGATTATTTTATTTATTAATTGGTTTATAGAGTAAAATGATAATATTCAAATAAAATAAAATCAATTAATAATAACAAAACAAGAACAACAATAATGATAATAATAATATGAATAATTAATTAACTTAAAGTTAAGGGTTTTAAGTACCAATTTAAATTTCAAAGTTTAGTTTATAAAATGAAACGATGATATTCAAATTGAAGAATAAAAGTAATAAATATAAAAAGTAATTAATTAATAAATTAATTATTATAAGTGTTAGTTTCAACATTTAATTTTTAATAACTAGCATTGTTAAAATCTCAAATCTAACTAGATATATTATTTAGTGTATGGAAAAATTAGGATGTTACAATCCCCCTTTAGCAGCGCTTTTTTAAAAGCGCTGTCTTTAGTAGGTAATTTTTTTCTTTTTTTTTTACTGACTTTTTAGCAGCGCTTTTTTAAAAAGCGTTGTCTTTGTATGCGCTGCTAAAAGTCATTTCTGGCGTAGTGATTGTCAGCTGTCTGCTCCCCATCATGTAACTTCTGTATATGCAAATTACACACCATGGAAAGATGCAGAGTCTGAGCTAATGCAATAGCGTACTCTAGCTCATAAAATATTGTTTGGCTCATGAAGATGTTAAGGAGGAGGGTAAGTATATTCTCAAATGAGTATCATCCAAAAACATTTTTGATCTATATTTTTCTTAACATGTATGTCAAATTCAACCTTTAGGAAGAAGCACATCTACTATTTGATAAAATGTCTGATAGAAATGTTGATAACATGTATATTTTTTCATCTGTTTTGAGAGATTCTGAGAGGTTATGTGATACTAAAAGTATGATTGGAGTCTGATGTGTTTGTAATTTGTATTCATTAGATATTAATATGGGAAACTTATTTATGTGACTGATCTTGTTGTTGTTCTATTTGTAAAGCAAGTAAAACAACCTAACAATAGAGCTTGATCATGAGGAAAACGTGGAAACCACATCATGCAATTACGCAAGCAAATAATATATAGCTTCCACATGCAATTCAAGTTACAACACATAGAACATATTATGTTTGTAATCTCTTATATATGTTATATTGTTAAGTCCTTTTATTTGTTTTATGTGTTGTTGTTTTTTTTACTATACTTGTTTTTCATTTTGTTGTAACCGAAAATTATATTTAATATGAAATTCCATGGTTCCAAAAATTAAATTACATGTTAAGAGTGCATTCAATAATTATGTTGCAAAACTTGCTCCAACTTTGAAACAACTTATGTATCTATAGAATTTTGCCATGGGTACAAACATCAGTGTCCATGCAAGTATGAGTTCGTGTACGGAAATTACTTTAAACTGTGAATTTGAAAATGGGTACTATAGTACCTGTCCAAACCTTAGTCATTGTCATTCTTACGCAAGGCTAATGCATGCACCCGAAGGTATGATGACTATGTGCAATCCTTGCACGTCAGGAGCAATGGCGCATCTTCTTTGATACGATTTTTTTTAATGAGTATTTTGGTTAATAATGAAAAATGTTGGTTATTTGAATATTTAAATTGAAAATGGTTATTTAAAAAAAATTAAGATTAATAGTTGATTGTTAATTTTTTTTTTTATTAGAAATTGAATTCGGAATCTCCAATTTCAAATATATTATTTATTAATCCTATTAATTTACCTTAAAATGTCAAACTTGAGCACATGCACACACAAAAAGGTGCGTGAGTATAATAATCATAAGAGTTAAATATGTTAGTGGTCCTCCTAAATATCTCAAAATTCATTTAGTCTCTCAAAATATTTCTTTTAAAGAATGATTCTCCTAAAAAATTTCATCCACACTTTTGCTCCCTAATACTAAAATTGTCGTTAAAAGTGTCGCTCATTAAATAATAAATTGTCGCTAAAATTGCCGCTAATTGAGTCGCTAAGTTGTAAAAACTGTCACTAAGTTATAAGAGGGACCAAAACTGTTGATTGAAAAATTTATAAGGATTATTCTTTGAAAAAAATATTTTGAAAAACTAAAAACGAAATTTGAGATATTTAAGAGGAAAACGACCATATTTAACTCTTATAAAAATAAATGTGGTAGAAAGCTTTTAGAATCAACATCCCACACTAAAAAATGAAGCTACATAACCCTTCCAATAATAATGTAAACTAGTAAAATTGATCAAGGCTAACAAAAATGACAGTGAAATCTAACTTGGATTGATGATCAAGTAACAAGGGGATTACATGGTTATCAAGGAACACTCATCTCTTCATTCATTGATAACTGCAGAGCATGTTCTGCTTCATTCAAGAATAATCAAGTTAGCTGCTTTTGACCTCGGCGATATACAATAGCAGACCATTTGTTTCTAGTCATAAACTTTGTTTCCTCTGAGTCATTTCCTGTTCTGCTCAAAGGAAATCAAGAAAATCGCATTAGTATCATAACTATAATCGAGAAAGTACAATGAGTCATGTTCTAAGAGTGAAAATTTGTAGTTTCATACTGTTTGCTATCTTCCTGGCTATCAATGATAAGGGCTTTCTTGAGCAATTCATAATCGCTTTCCTCAGTTCCAGAATGCTCTTCAAGATCCATTAACCTTAAATGAAGCGAAAATGTGAAATCAATTAGGCACTGATGCACCGCATATAAGATACATCAATGTTGGACACTCAAGTTTTTCATATTTGATACAATCAACTGTTATGGTTGTATGTAATTCCTAGCACTCACTTGACATGAAGAAGATCAACTAGGACTTGTAAAGCTCCGGAATCACCGCAAACTTCCCATATTGCAGATTGGACGTCTGTATCTGATAACTGTCTTTCCCCTTCAGGTCCAACAAGCTTTATGTGAAAGAATAAAAATTGTATTAATGTTGAATTCTGATGAAATTGAAAATATGAAGAAAAAATGCTGCATAGAAGTTGTACCTCTTCTAGCATTGAGGAAACCTTGAAAAGCTCATCCTCTTGCATGGCTATGGTCCTTAAGGTAGCCATAAATTTCTCGGGAAAAACGAGTTTGTTTACATAAGATGGAATCTTGCGCTGACCACTCCAACTATAGTTGCAAACTTGGTTGCACTGGTTATTTTCTCCGCTATTTTTGGTGCCTAATGGAAAAAATCCATTATCCATAGAGTTTTGGGTAAAAGACATCGCATTTCAGCCTTCTGTAAACACAAACCGAAAAAACAGAAAGTGGAGTTACAGAAGGGGGAAGCTTTAAAGCAATAGATAATAACAAATTGGTGTAATAACTCATATTCTACTTTATTGGTATACCTGCACTTCAAGAAGCTGGCTTTTAGACTCGGAAAAAGAAATAGTATTAATTGCTTCTGATGGATAATGAACCTGAGGGACCCAACAACAATGAAAAGTTAGCAAGCCATAGTAACTTGAATCGTAGAGATTAGAGAATATAACTGTAGCAAAACGGATACAGCTCATGTCAAAGTATGAAGGTGTGTTCTGTGTTGTGTCAGTGTCAATGCTTCGTAGAATATGAGACTCTCAATAGCAATAGATAGAGGGGCAGCAGCTATAACTATAAAGATGGAAGACAAATATATTCTACAAAGTAGAAACCGGATCACTTTGACGAAACAATTAAGGAATTGGGGTAATATTGTTAAGTAGAAATTTTACGCTTGGTGAACACAAGATACAAGTGTAAGTCATTACCATGAGATAGTCATCTGTGTTACCATCAATGACAAAGCCATACAGATATAGAAGTTCCTGCATCAAGTGGAGAAATGTGCTTAATCAAAAGAAGAGAAGAGAAAAATAAACTAGCGAATATAAAACATATCTTATAGGAAAATGTATTTTTTTCCAATCATGGTACAATACAAAGTACCTACCTCATTCCCTTGTTGCCATAACTAATGGAAATTTCTCGATCAATCTGCAAGGGACTTTGAGCAGCTTTACAAGAAAATAATGAATTAAAGGGGAATAGTTTCAGTATATTATTTTATGGAACTACCAAAGCCGAAAGAGAGAAACCAAAAGAAAACTAAGTTAGCAATTTAATATTAAAAAGTTGAACATCAAAGGCACATATGTTACCGGAAAGAAGATACATGGAGACAGGAACTCCTGTTGTTAAGCCAATTCCATCAACTTCCCATGTTGCTATTGGCTTCAAATCTGATTGGTCATGAAAAAAATCAGATTCAATTTAATGAAAAAAAATCAACAAGAAAAGTCTTTTAAAAGCACATAAATAAGTGAAAATGTCAGAGCTTCAAGCAACATCTTACCATGGTTGCAAAAGTCAATACCAGGGACAAGACCCTCAACCCAAACGGTCTCTCCATGCACTGTGCTATGTGTCGTTTCCTTGGTTAGATCGTCTGATTTTGTAGCCTCGCTTCCTTTAATAAAACATTCCTAATTTAAGTATCATTTTTAACTCACAAATTCAAAAAAAAAACACTATTGTGACGGCTCCGTTGGATGCATCACAGGAGAGGACTTTTTAAAGGGAACTAGGTAGAGATGGAATTACCCTTTTCATCAGCTTCTGGAGTGCAACTCTGATGAACATCTTGCATCTCAGGAAATACATAAGAACGAGGCATTGGAATGTTCAAAGCACGGCTCCAGAAAACTGAATTTGCCCTAGCATTAACGCAAGTCGGATATAAACTTCCAAATAATTAGCTGAACTCATGCGCATATACAAGTTCACTAGAAGTACATACCACAGGAAATCTTCAAAGCACACCTCACTGGAAAAACAGATACACACACAAGAAAACTGCTGTTTGAAAACAAAATCTAGAAAGCGCATTTCAATTCATCATCCTGAAGAAAATTGAGAAGGTATATTATATATAACATCATAAACCACATTCAAATTTAATTCTTATTGCAATAGTAGTTTTCAAATTTAAGTTATATTTTCAAAGCAATAGTTCTTAATTTCAAAACCAAATTAACATGATTGACATATAATAGGAGTCAATTACGAATAAACTATTTAAAAACATTAACTAATAAACACACATACATCTCAGAATCTCCATCAAGATTCAAAAGTTTCATCACTAAATCCTTCACTTTAGTTTCATACAAATTCAACAGGCTTTTCTTCTGCAAGATAGAACAGTAATCAAATCAACTACTGCTAAATGACATCTGGTTCTATCACCAACCCATTAAACAAACTACATTTGGTTCCGTCATACATCAATTACCTGTAACTCAGTTGCACGATATAAATTAGTTCCTCTCAGCTCTCGAAGTTCTTCTTCGCTAAACCAAAGTGTATTTCCGAAAGTGGTTGGAAGCATATCAAGGTACCTGATTAAATGTCAGCTTCTCGATAACTCATTAAAATTCCCAATACATAACGTTCTGAAAAACATAAAGTAAAACAAAAAAAAAAACATACATACGGCTTCTCATCATGTTGAATCCAATCTATGCAACCACCATTCTCTTCACATCTCTTCGCACTTCATCCTCATCATCTTCCACAACCTTTCTCCTTCTATACCCTTACACAACCTTCTTCGCTCGCACCCACCGCAAAAAGCTCCACAAACTCCCAACCATCGACGACGCCGTTTCATCTTTCAACCATTTCCTCCACCTCCGCCACCCACCACCCATTCAAGAATTCAACAAGCTCTTAACAACAATAGCCAAACTCAAACGCTACACCACAGTCGTTTCGCTGTATTCTAAGCTGGAGCTGAAGGGAACCGTCAAACCCTCGCTTATCACTATGAGTATATTGATCAATGGTTTTTCTCAATTGGGTCAAATGGGTTTTGCTTTTTCGGTTGTTGGGAAGATTCTCAAGAGGGGTTTTGAGTTAGATGTGAAAACGCTTACTACGTTGATGAAAGGTTTGTGCTTGAAAGGTAGGGTTTTGGAGGCGCTTAATTTGCTTAATGATTCTGTTTCCAAAGGGTTTAGGTTTGATGAAGTTTGTTATGGGACAATAATCAATGGTTTGTGTAAAACTGGTAAAACAAAAACTGCTATAGAGATGTTTCCTAAGATGAAGAAGATTAGGGTTTACCCTAATTTGATTATGTATAATACTGTTATTGATGGTTTTTGTAAACAAGGACTTGTAGATGAGGCTTGTGGTTTGTGTTCTGAAATGGTTGCTAATGGTATTGGTCTTGATATTTACAGTTACAATTCTCTTATTCATGGTTTATGCTCTGTGGGTCGGTTTCGAGCCGCAGCTGAGTTGCTCGATGAAATGGCTGTACAAAGAAAAATTTACCCTGATGTGTATACTTTTAATATATTGATTGATGGTTTGTGTAAAGTAGGATTGGTTACTGAAGCTCATAATGTTGTTGCTGTGATGATTAAAAGAGGTCAAAATCCTGATGTTGTTAGTTATAATGCTTTGATGAATGGTTTTTGTTTGTGTGGTGGTGTGGATGAGGCTAAACGGGTGTTTGATAAGATGGTTGAGAGAGGTTGTTTGCCTAATGTTATCAGTTATTGTACTTTGATTAATGGATATTGTAAGGTTAAGATGGTTGATGAAGCTATGATGCTATTGACGGAAATGCATAAGAAGAATTTACTTCCTGATACTGTAACTTATAACTGCCTTCTTGATGGTTTGTCGAAATCTGGAAGAACACTGTACGAGCGGGACCTGGTTGAGGCCATGCGTGCCAGTGGTCAACCCGCCGATTTAATCACTTACAATATACTATTAGATGATTACTTCAAACATGAAAAATTTGGCAAGGCACTTGCATTATTTCAGCACATTATTGAAATTGGGATTTTGCCAAACATTCGAACATATAATATACTTCTTGATGGCCTTTGCAAAAGTGGAAGAATAAAGTATGCAAAAGAGATTTTTCAACTTCTGTCTGCCAAAGAGTGTCAACCAAATATCCGAACATATAACATTATGATCAATGGGCTTTGTAAAGAGGGTTATTTAGATGAAGCAGAGAGCTTACTTTATAAAATGGTAGATAATAATTGCCTTCCTAATTATATAACTTTTGATACCATTGTTCGTGCACTTTTGGTAAAATAACGGGGATTGATGAGGCAAAGAAAATTCTTAAAGGAACCATTGTCTCACATCTGCCAATGTCTAAGTCGACTGTTAACCTTCCGGCGATATTTTCCGGTGATCATTGCTGGTAACAACCGCAAAACCGGGCAACAGTTTGTGGAGGAAGGGGTGTCACTAGCAAATGGCCTTCTCCAGCTTGGAGTCTCACCCGGTAATGTTGTCGCCATCTTTGCTTACAACATGTAGTATAGAATCTAGTTATTGCTGCTAATTCATCATCAATGATTTTACGAATGGTGAATTAATTTGATTTTTCATTTCAGTGATTGGTATTTGGAATGGTTATTAGTCATTGCATTTGTTGGAGGAATTGCTGCTCCTTTGAACTATCGCTGGGTATGTAAATTTTCTGTATACATGATTTCCCTAATTTGTATTATTTTTGTGCTTTGAAACAAATTTCTACTTTTGAAGATGCAAGGTTTGCAATGGCAGTAGTGAAGCCATTAATGTTAGTGATTCATGAGAGCTGCTATTCACGATACTTCAAATTCCAACAAGTTGATATTCTATCTTTGAAGTGGCATGCTATGTTGGATTCTCCTTCTTTAGATTTTACAAAGAAATGGAATGGTAGGAATATTTGTGTGTATTTATTTGTATTCTAAAGAACAATTTATGCCTAAACTTTTATAACCTTGAATAATATTCTTAACTTAATTGCTCTTGTTGTTTTGCAGTGTTGACTCCAGGAATACTTAAGAAACATTTTGTGAAACCTATAGAGTTCAATTACTCTAGGGCAACTGAAGGAGCTGTCATAATATGCTTTACTTCAGGTTCAACATTCTCACTTGATAACCTCAAAAAGAAAAACTTCTCACTTGGTTATTAAATCGAGATTCATGTCCAGAAGAGATGTGTATCGATTGAGTTCAGTTTTGTATTAAATCAAGATACGACTTGCATGTATTGTAAGATACTGCTAACTATGCAATAATGTACAATTCGCACGACTTTTTGATAATCTATAACTATATATAAAAGGAATACTTTGTTTTGGTATGGTTTTTTTTCTACCATTTTTACTCTTGCTTTATTATATAATTTACTTAATAACATCTTATTATTAACGTCCACATAACTTCATATTATTAACTTCTATATATTGTATTTTTTTTAAAAACTATTTAAATAAAAAATATAGTTTATATTTTCATTCATGCGCAGTAAAAAAGCGGACAGACGGACACGCGTGTCCGTCTGGACGCTAGTAATAATAATGTACATCCTAATGTTCAAATATTAATCTACGGAATACACTGCCAAATTGCTGAAATTGTTATGTGCTTGACTCTTCGAGCTACTGGAAAACCCAAGGGAGTGACAATAAGCCATGAAGCTTTAATTGTTGGAAACCCAGCAAACACAGACAGAAATATTAAGAGAAAAAAGAAGCCACACACACAAACAGAATGATTGTTTTATTAAATGATGAAATAGTGGAATTATAGAAAGGGAAATGACCCTAAATCTGACACAGAGCAAGCTCCTATAGGTGGCTAGAGCTTCCTATTCATGACTAAGCAAACAAAATATTTTCCAAGGTAATCCTCTCAACCTCTCACCCATTCCTTATATTGTGGAATCGTACAATCATTCTCTCTCTGCACCTCTAACGGAATTACCGCTCTTTCCCCTTTTTGCCCCTTCTAGAATACACTCTCCATACCTTAGGCCCATTGGGCTGATGATAAAGCATAACCTCATTTGTGTCACTCCCTGTCACATGGTCTCTTTCAATACTCCCTTCTGAAACTTCAACCTTGTCCTCAAGGTGAAATATCGGGAACTGACTTCTAATTGTCACAACATCTTCCCAAGTTGTTTCATCTGTGGTCTGACCCTTCCACTGCACTAATCACTGTTGTACTTCTTCTCCTTGTTTCATAACCTTCCTAGACACTAACACCTTGTCAGGTTCTGGCATAACAAGTTCTTCACCTTCCAACTGGTCAGACAATTCCTTTTCACCCTGATAATTTCCTACGCCTTTCTTAAGCAAAGACACATGGAAAACGGGGTGGACTTTTGACGCTTCAGGTAGCTTTAGCTTATATGCTACAGCACCAACTCTGTCAATCATCGGGTATGGACCAAAATACCGTGCTGCTAACTTGGCATAAATACGGGAAACCACATACTGTTTATGTGCCCTCAGTTTAACAAACACTCATTCTCCAATCTCAAAGGATTTTTCGACTCTGTTAGCATCTGCCTGTGCTTTCATTCTTCTTTGAGCCTTTAGCAACTGATCTCGCAATTGCCGCAAAGTCTCATCTCTGTCCTGTAACTCCCTTAAAACAACTTCAACACGTGTCTCGCCATTCCCCAACGAACCAAAACAGGTGCCTTCCTTCCATATACAACCTCAAAAGGGGTCTGTTGGGTTGCGGAATGATACTTGGTATTGAACCAGAATTCTGCCCATGAAATCCAATTCATCCACACTTTGGGTTGATCAGCAGCAAAACAACGAAGATAGGTTTCGAGACAACGATTAACTACCTCGGTTTGTCCATCGGACTCGGGATGATAGGCTGAACTAAACTTCAAATGTGTTCCCTGTAATTTGAAGAGTTCTCTCAAAAAATGACTCATGAATATAGGGTCCCGATCGCTCACAATTGTCATTTGGATACCGTGCACTCTAATAATTTCTTTGACAAATATCTGAGCAAGACTTTTGGCCGTATGAGGGTGTTTGAGGGGCACAAAGTGGGAATACTTAGATAGTCTATCGACTACCACCATCACCGCTTCATACCCTTTGGATTTAGGCAGCCCTGTTATGAAATCCATTGATAAGTCTTCCCACACCTTCGTTGGAATTGGTAGAGGTTGAAGAAGACCTCCTGGAGATGCTGCTACATATTTATGTCTCTGACAAGTATCACGCCCTTTTACAAATTCTTGAACAGTACTCTTCATTCCCGACCAATATACATTAGCAGCTATTCTTCTGTAAGTTCTCAAGAACCCTGAATGCCCTCCTTGAGGTGAACTATGAAATTCTTTCAGCATTCTCGGAATCAACGTAGACTGTGATGACATAACTAACCTCCCTTTGTATAGCAACGTGACATGTTGTATTTTGAACTTAGGATGTGTTGTAAGGTCCACCGATAAATCCTGCCAAATTTTCTTAAGCTTCTCATCAGAATGTATCTCCTGCTGCACCTGCTGAAACTCTTCCCAAAATGGATAGAACACAAAATTATT